TCAAATTACTTTGAAAAATACTCAAATATCATATTATATCTAAGCATTTAACAATCTTTAGATAACAACAGCTAGCCTGTTTTAAGAACTTACTAAGTTTTCAGGTATGTGCTAAGTATCTTATAGGATTCTTTCATTTAATCTTTAGAAAAACTTAATGACACAGGTACTATTACCATCCTCACAGTAATGGTTGGATGATTTGGACAAGCCCCTATGTCTTAACTCTTCTTCAGAAAAATATGTAATATTTATCTTATTAGGACTGTTTCAAGAATTAAATTGATCAAAATATACAAAGCACTTAATAAGCACTGCACTTTGCTTATTAAAGCATGGTAGGAACTTATAGCTAGTTATCACTGCTATTTTTAGCAGTAATTTTAAATGACTTGCACTGTTACAGTATAAAAACTCAATCTTTCAACAACAACAAAAAACCTACTATGCATGTTACAACATATCACAGTGATTCTGAGAAAATTTTTAAATGCGGCTATGTTCCTCACTTACGGCTCTATATAAGGGAAAATGGTAACAGACATAGGAGTTCAGGAAGAGTTGCAGAGAGTAAGAACTCTGAGCAACAATGATGAGAACATAAAAGGTCAGAAGTTTTAAGACACATTAGGGAATACATTAGGACTGTCACATAAATAGAACAGGGAACCAAAGCTGATTTTAATTAACTCTCAAAGGACCCACAGTGACATCAGTGATTTCAGTGACATTCCATTAGTAGAACAGGCTGTTACCTTCTACTCTGTCTTCAAATTCAATAATCTTTTCTTCTGTAATGTCTAATCTGCTATTAATACCATCTAAAATGAAACAGAAAAAACTGGGGGAGGGAGGTAGCAACAGAGGAAAAATTAGTTGTTTTTGGACAGCTATAATAACACTAATATATGTATAACTGGTATCCCCAAATGAAAAGGAAAAGGGAAAAGGCAAAAAATATAGTTAGAAATTATAATAGTGAAGTAAAAGTTTCCAAATTTGATGAAAAACATAACCCTATAGATCCAATAAGCTCAACATCCTCCAAGCAAAAGAAACCATAAAGAAAATTACAGTAAGGTATATTATTTCCAAACTACTTAAAGCCAATAATAAAGAAAAAATATTACAAGTAGC